CACAATCCAAAAAGTTCTATTTACAATCCCATTGAGATGTGATTGGAATCCCAGCAAGTTAATTCCAATCTACTACCTCCAATGCAAACCACGGCAGAGTAAAGACACCAAGACATATTCTAGGTTAAGGGCAGCCTAGTGGTCCTAAATCCAATCCCCATGAGGATGTGCTACAAAGGCCCTGATCCTAGGCCTCTCCCAGAATTTATTATCTTGTAAAGAAGTAGGGTGGGTCAGGGATGAGTGACAGTGAGGATGGTGGGAATTATGTGAGTAACTTGATCTGGCTGGCCAGGCTGGGAGAAATGCATGGATAAGGATATGCAGAAGGATCAATTTGCATAATTAAGGTAGCAACTGAATAGTTTTAGGAGGCTGTTGCTTCAGTTTCTGATATGTAAATTTTTCTGTCCTGGGGACTCATAGCCTCTTTACCTTGAGGCTCATACTTGGTTGACATTCCCAGAGCTGTTGGCTCTAACATTCTGCTGTGTTTGTATCTTTTACAGAGAGTCCTATGCAAGGAAACAGGACTGTCTGATGGCTTTAGAGAGTACATAGCAGCACCTCAGCTAGCCTTATTTGCAATGCTTAAAGCCAATTGAAGAGAGAAGGAAATACCATAGCCAGCTCTCTACATATCAATATAAAGAAATCTCCATATTATCAAAGTTGCAGCAATTGTTTTGCATTCAAGGGGAGTCACTGGAGTTGTCTCTCACAGGTGACACTGCCCTGTCATTTACTGAGTGGTTTGTGTCTCCAGACTGACAGGTATGTTCAAATACCCATCTGAGGCCAGGTAGCAGGTTGTGGAAAGAAACCAATGAGCTCTCCGCCCACTAACAATCAGTCAGGACTGATCCCAGCTGTGCACACATTGTGTGCAGCCCCAGCCTATCTGTTTTGCCTGCTGGTTTGAGCTCCAGGCCGAGCTGTCCCCAGGATGGGGGTCTAGCAGGCCTCCTGTGCTGTCCAACGTGAGACTGAGCTGAGGCATGGAGTGGACACTGAATCCCACACTGATGGAGTAGCAGGCCTCATTGGGTCAGCAAGAAACACAACCAGGAGAGCCCACAAGGCCCCAGGAGGGGACCCCCCGCTCCTGTCACACCTGCCATCTGCCACATCAGGGAAGCCACTGATTCGTCTCACTTTCTCAATGCAGTCAGAAACCTCTGATGCAAACTGCACTTTGGTGGCGGTGTGTGCCCGTGCTGGGCAGCAGGCTTTGTGCTCGGGTGTGGGCAGCCTGTGTGCTCTGGAGACGTGATCACACTGAGATTGCCACTCCTTCGTGTGTAACTGAAGACAGGTCTCCTCACCTCTGCTGTTTTACTCCCAGTCAGTCTGAGTTCACACAGGCAGAAGCCAGGGGTGTGATGGTCTCAGGACCTTCACGGTGAGTCCTTCCCTCTACTCAAGGAGAACCAGGTCCAGGAGCCCACATCCCCCATGTGGCTATGAGAATGTGATCCTAGCTGGGAGGCCGAGGGAATCTGTGCTGCTTGTCATCACACAATCTAAGGCACAAGGACAGCAATCAGCAAACTGCAACAGCCAGCATGTGCTGGCACATAGCTAATCCTTTAACTTAATCCAAAATGAAACTGCATGACAGTTATCTTTGTACAGTGGTATAAATTAGCCCAGAAGTTTCTCATTTCTCTTTTTTTTCCCAGTCATAACTGAGTGCCTGACTGTTATCGGCATTGCAGCATCTGTAAAATGATCATAATGTTGCAGGCAGCAGAGTTAGTTAGAAATAGTATAGTCAGTGAGACAGGGCTAGGTCCTCAATGGAGCCAGTACAGATACCTGACAGTGTGGGGGAGACTTACGTCTCCTGCTGTGGGCCAGATCTGAAGACAAAAGATCAAACAAGTGCACCCATATCCTGAGGTCTGATATTCTAAATAGCTCCCTATCACCCTGAAGAAGCCAGGAGTCACCATCCCAACTCCCTAGGGAAGAGTCACTGCTCCCAAGAATGCCTGCTTTCTACGTGACTTCCTTCCCCATTTGTCCTCAATGTAATCAATTTTACCTGAACTATTGATCTTATTGGCTAACCCTAGTTCTGTCCCACCTTATGCCCATCTGCCTTGTGAGTTCTCAGTTTCTCCCTGCCTTGAACCCATGGTTTTACTCTATAAAAATCTCCAGAAAAGACAGAGTCCTTGGTAACCCACTCAGGACCTCTTCTGTCTCTTCAGACAGAGGCTTTCTTTCTCTCAATAAATATATTCTACTCTTCACCTCCGTTGGTCCTAAAATTCATTCTTTGATTTTAGAGAACACAAACTCCTACCAGATATAGTAGGTCGGGAGTTTCATTCCCCTGTATCAATAACGAAATAAGATTTGCTGACCCAAACTGGACAAGTTCATGTACACAGAACATCTGATTCATGCACCCTCAGGAAAGGGGACATCCTGCCAGTCGGTATGGTCCTGTTCCAGTACTGCCTTGGTCTCAATGGGCACTTGTTTTCATTTTCACTAATTTTAACAAGTCTCTTCTCAATATGCATTCCTCCCATTTGAAGAAATTGTGCCAGTGTGATTCAGCTTCTGCTTACCTCCTAGGGTCCACTGATCAGAGCCACTGGGAGGAGCCAATGGAAGAGACTCAAGATCCCTGCAGGATTCCGAGGAGAGAAGGAGCAAGGAACTTGCTGCAGGGCTGGGGGCAGACCATGGAGGGCAACCATGGCAAGGGCTGTTCAAGTCCCTGCAGCAAAGCAGGGTGCATGAGGGAGCCTGAGGCAGGGTAAGGAACCTGTGAATCTGGGCACAAGAGTCAGTTTGTGGCACCCCATAGTAATCACAGGGAATGTTCGAGGGACTTGTTGATGCTTTATGGCTTATATTTCATAACACTAACACCGATTGACTTAATAAAATTGTGCCCTTGTTAATGGAGGTTAAAGGCAAAATTTCAGCAAAAGCACTGGTCTCCACAACCTCATGTATCTCAGGCACACCCCACCCCACCCCTGCAAGATCTCATGCTGATCACGTCTGAGTTTTCTAACAGGCACCCTAAGGGACCCCTCGCCTGCCCTTCCCACCAGCTCTTTAGAGTGAAGTCCTAGGCATGGCCCCAGGGCATGCACACTGCAAGATTGTGGTCTTTTTGCCAAGTTGCCCGCCAGGAATTTCCTCCTGATTACACACCTTCCAGGTGTGCAAGAGGGTGGGATTCTTCAGCCTCTCCCCAACAATGGCATTATTACCCTAGCTGATCTCTGCCAATATAATTGGAAAAAGTTTTCTAATAAAGGTGGTATTGTATCTGTGAGGTTATTGCACAAGTCAACTCATAAATGAGAAAATTAAATGAACCCAACAGGGAACCCCACAGCACAGCGAACACAGAATCAGTGCTGTCATTCATCTGGGGTGCTAACGGGGGCCGGAGGACAGGGGTGGGGCTTTATCCTTACAATTACAGAGAGCTGCGATTGGAAATTCAGCTCCTTTTATCTTGTTGTTTTACTGATTTTCTTTACTTGTTCTTTGTGCTCTGAATTATAACCCAGAGCAGCTCCATGGAATATAAATCCAGAGCAACTCCATGGAATACAATACAATAGCTGACTAAGTCATATATATATGAAATGTGATAGCAAATGGTCAAAGTTGGAAGGGTTTACCATCGGACAAAGGGGAGAATCCAAAAGTTACAGTAAGGAGTGAAGAGAAATAAAAAGAGATGTTTTCCAAAAACTAGGAGAGGAATTATCTAGAGTTGAAGAATAAATGTCCCGTCAGGTTTAAAAAGTGCACTAAGAGCTCTGTGGCAGCTTCTCTGTGCCTGCTTGGCCGGGCGGGTGCCTGGAGGCCTGTAAGGGCGACTTTGGGGACGTGAGCTCTGAGCTGAGGACTCTGATAGGCAGGACGGTGCTCTTAGGACAGGTGAGCCTCCCCCAATCATTTGAAGGCCTAAGAAGAACTCGGGGAGCCCCAGGAGAGGGCCTCTCCAACCCTGGGAGGAGAGGGAGAGCTCCAACTGACCAGCCAGGCCAGCAGGGTCCTGCACAGTGGTGCAGAACTACAGAGCAGGGCCCAGGTAAAGGCAGGGGAAGGCCTGCTCTGCTGATGGTGGGGTTAGCCCAGGCCTGACGCAGGTCAGCAGAACGCCCCAGGCCACCCCTTGGTCTCCACCTCGCACATGGTGAGAGAGGAGTGGCCTTCACAAGGAGAAAACCAGTTGAGAGGACACTTGGGCAAATGAACTAACTGTGACTCTTCTGGGAATTTAAACCAGGAGCCCTGAGGGCTGGGGGAATGCCCAGGACAGGACCTCACGGTCACACAGCCCTGGGACTCCCCCAGGGCTCCTGCTCCGCACCAGGGTCTGACCTGGATGTAGCAGGCAGAGGGAGCCCTCAGTTTGGAGAAAAGACAGTGAAGATGTGACAGTGACAGAGGACAGGTACAACGGAATCACCACAGACTCGAAACACACATGAGTAGGTAACCTTAGAGAGCACATTTGCAAATGCAGACAAAGTGAATCCAAAAAACTGCAATAATCATCTGAGCCAGCTGACAAATGGAGAAAGTCCAAACTACGGTAATTATTTAAGAACTTGTATTCATAACTTAAAAATGTTAAAATGAAAATCCAGGGACAGATGTTTTCATTATGAATTTTAGCAAATATTCCAGACTTGTGTACAAGTCTTACACAAATTCTTACACAGAATTCTCAAAGGTAGAATCATTTTATTCCTTTTATGAAGCCATTACAGCAGTGATTATAAAAACCTGAAAAAGTACAAAAGAGAATGATAATCTCACCTATGAATATAGGTGCAAAATTCCAAAACCAAATGTTATCAAAATCAACCTAGTCACATACAAATGGAATAATATGTCCTAACACCCATGACAGGAATAGAATTTAATAAATAAATAAAATTTATCTATCTGCTTATTTAATAAATAAAATTTCCTTGATCTTTTAAAAGTTGACTGTAAAACACACATACCAGCATTAGCAGAGAGGCGTGGACCAACTCCCACCAGCTTTGGAGTGACGCAGGGATGCTGGGTATTTCTACCTTGGACATCACAATTAAGGCTCCAGCTGTCAACACAGAGCAAGAAAGACAAGCAGAAACCGTGCAGAGCTGAAAGAAAAGACGAAAACTGCCATTAGCTATAGAAGTCGAATGTGCATGAAAAGAGCCCAAAACAATCTATGGAAAATTATTCAAACAAACAAGTTCAGGGAAGCTGTTAGAATGATTATCACCAAAGGTAACATGAATTTTTAAAAGATAACAGTGACAACAATATCAGAAAAAAAAAAAACTCAAGGAAATAGAGACAGATCTAGTGAAAGACAGGTAAGCTCTCCACCCAGAAAGTTATAAAATAACATTTAGTGTCATTAAAGAGAAGTATTCTAGCCCGGTGTGGCTCATGCCTATAATCCCAGCACTCAGGAGGCTGAGGCAGGAGGATTGTTTCAATTTCGAGACCAGCCTTGGCTACAAAGTGAGCTCAAGGCCAGCCTGAATCGCATAGTGAGACCTCATCTCAAAAAGACAAAAAAAGAAAGGAAGAGAGAGAGAAAGAAAAAGAGAGAGCGAGAGAGAAAGAGGGAGACAGAAAGAAAGAAAGAAAGAAAGAAAGAATGTATTCTAAACAAAGGGGCATTACGCATCCATGGATTGGAGCATCCGACGTGGTACAGCTGCATTTCCTCCCAGATAGACTGTGGAGTGAACACAACCCCACCAGCTACGGCAGCCCTGGCTGCAGACTGACTTGCTGACTTAAACTCATGCACTATGACAAAGTACCAGGACATGGGGGCCCCTCTGAAGCGCAGCCCAGTGAACTTGCTCTGCAGAGCACCCACTCTCCACACAAAGACACAGCAAACAAGACATTCACAAGCACAGAGCAACTCACCAGCCACACAGAAGAGACATTCCGCCCCAGCCAGAGCATTCTGGCCTACCACAAAGGACACAGGTGCCAGTTGAGAGGCTGGATCCTGACTCCGTCTGTGTTGCCCAGGGGTGCACAGCCCTCCTACCTCAACACGCAAAATCCTACTCCCTGAAGAGAGCCCAGGTGCTCTCCCAGAAGCAAAATGTGGGTTTCCTCTTGGAGCCTCTGTTCACCTCTGACTTGGATGTAACAATCACAAGTAGGAGGAAAAAGAAATAAAAGGCACTCAAATAAGAAAGGCAAAGGTAAAACCATCTGTCTCCGCAGGATGACATGGACTATGGATAGAAAAGCAAATAAACAAAGAGATAAAAGCTATTAGAATTAATAAAGAAGGCTCACTGCAGTCAGGAGGGCCTAGTGAAACCACTGCTGACTTCTACATGTGAGCAGAGAACATTCTGAAATTAGAAACAATTCCACATACAGCTGTACCAAAAAGAAGAAACATGCAGAAATAAATTTAGCAGGCTGCCAGTCTTGCAAGTTGGATACTATGAAACACCATAGAAGAAGAGCTGGGGAAGCTAGCTCACTTCCATGGTCCTGAAGACTTAACCTGCAGGCCAGCTGATATACAGACATACATTCATTCCTCATCAAAATCTCAGCTGGCTTTTTGCGGAAATCAATAAGCTTATCCTAACATTCTTGTTAATGTGAAGGACACAGAACAGCCAGTGCGATCCTATAAAGGAAGAAAATAGCTGAAAGGCTCACACTTCCTGATTTCTAAACTTACTGCAAAGCTACAATGATCAAAACAGTATGGCATCAGACTAATGATAACCATGTTTGCCAGTAGGATAAAACTGAGAGATTTCTTTCCTAGAGGAAGTGCTTCTCAGCAGGAGCCCCAGACAGTTCAGCAGGGAACAGCAATGTCTTTCCAAAACAACTAAAGCAGGGTTAGTGACAATTCATGCACTAATCTCAGGAGGTACAAAAATTAACTCACAATGGGTGAAAGATATGTGTAAGCACTAAAACTCCAGAACTCTCAGAAAAACAGAGAGGCATAAACTGTGATCCTAGATTTGACAGCAAAAGCAAGAGCAACAAAAGAATAAATAGGCAAGCTGGGCTTCATCAGGATTGAAAATGCTTTTTGCTGCAAAGAAATGAATGGACAACCTAGCACGGAAACCAACACTTGTAAACTGTGTGCCTGATAAGCCAAGGGCATGTCTCAAAGGAGAAACGCATGAGGACTTACATCGCTTTTCCAGGGAAGATGCACAAAGACCTTGGCGCCCCTGTGCCCCGAAGGAAACGCAGATCACACCGTGGCAGAGACAGCTGTCGGCAGAAGCTGTGGAGAAATCTAGATCCAACAGGTAGGGGTGTAAGGCGCCCCCACTCTGGAAAGCCCCCTCCAAAGGCTCAGGCATGGTGGCTGCCCACCATCCACCGATTGCACGTTCAGATGGATGCCCAAGTGGAAAGAAAAGAAAGAGGTTTCCACAAAGGAGCTCGCGCAGGAAAGTTCTCACAGCATCCTTCTTCCGAACTGGAGTGGAAGGCACCCAGTGTCACTGCAGAGGGCTGGGGAAACAAAGGGCGCTAGGCCCCAAGTGCAGAGTAGTACTCAGCCATGAGAAAGCAAGAAGTTTCGAAGCTCTACTCCGGCCGGAGCTGGAGGGGCTAATGCACCATGGGTACTCTGAGGGAGGAGGCCACGGGAAGCCACAGGACAGGATTCCACTGGGTGAGATCGGGCTGTGGGCAAACGAGCGGTTCCCCCAGGATGGAATAATCAAGGAAGTGGGGGGGCCACTGCTTTCGCATAAGGGGCTTCCCTTTGGGGCGGTGAAAACAGGAGCGCAGAGAGCGGCAGGCTTGGTGAGCTCACTAAAGGCGTCAGAACAGCGGTGCACTTTGCAGAAGGTGAGCGAGGTGGTTTGCGAATTACAAACTAATAAAGCTGTTATTTCACGAGCTTGCAAGGGCGGGCCTGTGTCTCCAGAGCGCGGGCCTCCGTTAGGAGCTAGGAGCGGGGTAAATGGGTTCCTAATGGCAGCGTAGGGCGCAGTGACTTTGGAATCTGTTAGAGCCTCGGATCCCTGCAGGCCTGCCGGTCCGCGCCCTCCCTCCTGCAGCCCAGCGCGGCCCCCATCGCCGGGAGGTCCGGCCGGGTCCGGGTCCAGGCCCAGCAGCAGCGGGGCGGGAGAGGACACTGGAGAGGGCGAGGGCGAGGGCGAGGGCGCGGGCGAGGGCGGGCGGGGGCGGACGCGCTGACCTGGGGACGCGCAGACGCCGCCTCCCGGCAGCCGAGGTCCCTCCCCACCTAGGCGACCTGCGGGCGGACGGGCGGGGCGGGGACAGGCGGCCGGGACGGCGGAGGCTGCGGACGGGATGTGGGCGCCGGGCGGACCCCCGGGCCCCGCGGGCTGGGACCGCCGCCGCGGGGGCGCCAGGCTGCGCGCGGCGCTGGCCGGGCTGCACGAGCTGCAGGGGCTGCGCGCCACGCAGGAGAGGCGCGTGCGGGGCGCCCTGGCGCTGCAGTCGGCGCCCGGGCCTGCGGGACCCCGGGACGGCGAGGGCCGGCTGGAGGCCACGCTGGCGGCGCTACGGGAGCAGCTGGTGAGCGCGCGGGGTCGGGCTGCGCCAGGGGGCTGCGGGGGCGCGGGGCAGGTGGCTGCGGGGGACCCGCTGTGCCGGAGGAGCCTGGAGCGCAGGCCGTGCCCAGGTGCGCGGGGTGGTGCTGGAAGGTCGGGACCCCAGTTCCCATCCAGATCCCTCCCCCGTCCGGATTGCAGAACAGCCCACACTGCAATGGCACGGGCAGTTAGGGGCAGCTCTGCTTTCTCACCGAGACCCTGCAGTTCACACAGGAACCCTTGACTTGATTTCCCCTGGTGGGAGTCTGCTCACCAGCCTGGCCTCATTTCTGGGACCGGGAGAGCCGGGGACCCTGTTGGGTCAGGAGCGCACCCCTATCGTGCCCCCACTGTGCTCAGCCCTCAGCTGACAGTCGGGTCGCACCACTGTAAGAAAACATTCAGGGACGTGGATATCTGGTGAGTTCTTCCACTCCGACCCGTAAACCACGCTGTGAGAAGCGGTCTTCAAGTCTGAATGGAGGCCGCAGAGGGGCCCCAGACACGGACACGCTGTCTGCACGTCTCTGCCCTCTGGGCTCCGGTTCCCTTCCGTTGCGTTGAAAATACACTCCGGTTGTTATTTTGTGTTACTTTCTGGGAACAGCTCAAGAGTTTTTTGAGTACTGAAATATTTCTAAAAGAAAAAAAGGCTACAGATGTCTATTTGACTGACCTCTCTTTGTGAGTGAAATTTCTTTTCCATTAAGAACTCCCAACCATCCTAGTCATTAACAAGTGTCTGTAACAAGTCTCCTGTGAGGCTGTGCATTCCTATCAGCTTAGCTCGGCAGGTCCTCACCTGGACAAACACTTCAGGCTTAAGGGATGGGAGATCAGGGTTTGGAGACACCTCCTGGACACCTCTTATCTCCGCTGTGGCAGACTTCAGTGAGGTGGCCCTGCAGTGGCTATCTGTGGACCCTGTGCCACCCTGGAGAGGGGCGTGCCAGCCCTCCACGGGTCTGCAGTAGCCGTCTGTGGACCAGGCTGTAATGGAACAGCTGTGTCCGCTGTGCAGAGATCTGCATCCAGCCACACCTGGCTTCTGCCTGACCTCAACCTGGCGCGTGGTGTGTAAGCTTTTGGACTGCTTCGGAGGGGTCAAGTATGCAGTTGATGACTAGCATAGCTGCACATTCAGCCTCTAATTACCTACCAGTTGCCTTTTGGGAGAGATCAAACAGGTTTTTGTTTAAAAAAAAAAAAATTTTTTTTTTTAAGTGTGGGACCAGAAGGAACAGGCAGACTTTGTCTTGAAAAGGATTATGTGATCAAAAGAGAATAATTGAATTCTGTGACATCAGCCAGCACTCAACACTCCCATTTTCACGCAGGGGAAAACTTAGGAGTGATGTGAGATCTGTATGGAGAAATCACCCAGACGCTTTGGTCTAGCACAGTTACCCCACTTGGGTAGCCCTGGCATTCCTGCAGGTGTGAAGCCTGGAAGAGCGTGCTGTAGCTTTATCCTGCCTGAATTCTCAAATGAGGAGGCCCTTTAGCATTTCCTGGGATTTAGCTGTCATGTGGGAAAGAGCCTGCTCATCAAATGGGTGGCACCCTTCAAATTGCAGTGTCAAAAGTCACAAAGGGAGTGTACTGGTACAGTTTTGCTGAAGAAAGAGAAATTAGTGACTTTGATAACTAGCACGAACAAGAGGTGATTTTTTTATACTGATGAGACCTTGTGCCCTCTGAGCCCTGCAGGCAGCTGTGGTCTGGCCAGTTGTGGCCAGAGGTGGCTGCTCCTGGGTGCCAGGCACTTACCCTGCCAAAGGTGGCCTGAGAGCTGTGCCTCCCACCAGCGGGTGCTGCTGTATCTGTGGAAAAGGTGCCCTTGGGTGGGCAGCAAGTGAAGGGCAGGGAATGCAGTGAAATTGTATCCTGGGGAATTTTCTGGTCCTTGGCTTGGCTGGTTGTGACTTGTTCTAAAAGGGGCAGCTAGCAACAATGCCTTTCCACCTGGGCAGGACCCAGCAGTCAGTGCTGCAGGAGCAAGCCACAGGCAGAGTCCCCAGCTGTAAACACGATGCCTAGTATTTTCCTTGGCTGGCTGTGCTGGCTTTGTGAACAGAGAGACAGTAGAGGAAAGCAGGTCAAGAGCTAGTTCAGGTTCACAAGCAAGACTCAGGTCTCCACAGGCCCCTGGCAGGCTTCCTCTGAGGTTAGTGGGGCTTGTCACCCAAGGGTCCACTGGCAGGACACCGGCCCCTTCCCAGTTAATTTAGGCATAATGATGCCTCCTACAGAGCCAAGTCATTCATGCATGAAGTGTTGCCTTTGTACATTCTTAGCTTTCAAGGAAACCAAGGAAGTGTTTCAGATACTATCTCTATATCCTGAACTTCAAGGTACTTTTCATTTTTGTCCTCTGAAGAGGCCATAAAGCTTTTCATGGTTGTCATTCAGAATTGTCAGTGGGATAAGTGAAGCACATGCCAATCAGATTGCTCTGTAGAATAGAAACATTCAAAGAAAGGGGTTACCCAAATGTTTGCCTTTTGTGCCCACCTCCCCAGAACAGAAGTTCTCAGACTTTCCATCCCTAGGAAACTGGCTGGCATGCAGGGGTCCTGTCTCGCCCAGAGTGTCCCAGGGCCTGATCCCAGGATCTGCAAGGGACTAGCTGATTGCACCATGGGGACCTCAGGGAGTGATCCCATATTCCAGGCCCCAACTCCTGACCCAGGTTTGGAAAATTAACCAAGTGCCCTGGGATCCCTTGGCCCCACCCCATGAGAACTTGTGCCCTGAAGTTGACTGAGGCTGGCAGCAGGAGGGGAGCTAAGGTGCCCCAGACTCCCTTGCAGGAACATGTCGGGCTGGACTAAAGGAACTGGGCTCCATGCCTGACCTACAGCTGGCTATGCTCATCCCTGGTCACCGTGACTCTGCACAGAAATTCTGGCTGAGAAAGAGGAATGGAAGCAGGAGTGGTGGGGAGGGTCACAAGGCTGGTGACCACCTGGGAAGGTGGGGCTGCAGGAGGGGCAGGGCTGATGAAGTGGTGGGTGGGACAGAGAGCCTGGAGCCTGGGGGCTCTTTCATTCAGTTAATCAGAAACCAGCGCTGAGGCTGGCTGGCCAAACGTTAATCACAGAGCAGTGAACCCCAACAGGAATATTGGGCACGGCTCAGGGAGGGGTGCAGGAGGAGGAAAGAAGGCAGCTGGGGACCCAAGGGAAAGGAGAAAGGTGTGATTTGAAAGAGAAGTCAAGCAGACAGTTTTAAGCACTAAGGGGAGAGCTAACAAAAGGACTGACCGTCTTCGCTGGTCTTGTGGTTGTGTGGCAGGAGAAGAAAAGTCATTTGCCAAAAAGTACAGAGACCGGCCCTTTGGTGAATTTCAGTATCTTTTTCCTTTCTGTTTCTGTTTTTCGTACGTGGTAGGCCTGCTGTGTGCCTATCTGGGCTTCTTTGGTTGAGTGTGGAAATGTGAAAGTGTGCACAAGGTAGGATGGTTGTGCAAATGTAAAAGTGTGCAAGGTAAGAAGCCAGGACTCTTGGAACCATCAGGGGCTCCAAGAGCATGAAGATTTGTTTGGCTCACGACTGGTTTTGTTTTGTGAATGTTTCCAGTCTCATCCTAGCTTGGGTACTCGGTCACCATTCAGATCTCAGCTGTTCCAGGGTCCCCAGCTTCGGAGGAGCTGCTGAGTTAGGCAAGGTGTTTGGCTGTGTGCTGGCCTGGGCCAGGTCCCAGCTCAGCTCACCCTGGGTGTTTGATAAAAACTGTACACAAGAGACTGTCCTACTAACAGGAAGTTATTATTACTTCTCTCTTGTGATGACTTCTATGCTACTCAAATTTTGCAGTAATTACATTAGAAATGTAATCATTTTCTTAAACAGGATAAATCAATACCATACACTAATTAAGCTCATCAGTTAGGACAACAAATGTATGTAGTGGATCTGGAAAACAGGGTATAAATGAAAGAAAGAAAGAAAGAGAGAGAAAGAAATTAGTATTTATTGAAGGCTCAGTGCCAGTTTTAGATATACATTGTGCTACTTGGGTTCACAAACACTTTTGCTTGTGAACAATTTGGTTTATAAATGGCAGTGTCTGGCAGTCTGGTTTTTGTTCACAAAGTCTGCATTGGGTGATGAACACAACCACAGCCATCTTTCCTGCATGAACACAAATGTGGTCATCTTTCCAGGATCACAGAACGAAATTAAGTTCGTGAATGAAAGTGTGCCCATTCGTGTATAGTTATATATAAGGTACATCGATGCATAGAGAGATATAGGGATGAATGTGTATAATCCTGTTCAGGATGGGTAGATGGTGGACACAAGCCTCTGTGGCTGACATGCGTCATAAACCCTTTAGAGTTGGGGCTCCAAGCCCTAGAGAAGATATGGCGGAGGGCAGACCTGTGATGGATCCTCTCAGTCGAGGAGAAGCCCTGATGGGTTTCAGAAGTATTCACCTGACATGCTCCAACTTGTAGGCTTCTGGTGCTGAGAGAGATGTTCCCAGCAGCTTCACCAAAGCCTGTGGCTGTTCAGGAAATTACTCAAGGGTAGGGGTATGGCCAAGCTCTTGCCTGGCATGAATGTGGTCCTGGTTCCATACCCATTAAGAAAAAAAAAAACCAAAATTACTGTGGATGGATGAAGAGAGCCCAGATGCAGAAGGTGCCTTGAACTTTCCCCCCAGGGGCCACCAGCTGAGGTCCATTTTGTGAAGGACACAGAGACACCATGGAAATCTTCACCTAGGGCTAGAACAAAGCAAAAAGGGCGAAGCCTTACTAGGTACCTGCTGCAGCTCCCAAGTTCTGCGTTTCACCCTGCAATTACAAACTGTCATATTCTGCCTCCTGATAAAGTAGCATCTCCCTGGAAACTGCTGTTTCTGAAGTTTGCATTAGAGGAAAAAAGAAAAACCCTCTGTGTGATGTGTGCATGTGGAGTGGGGAGGTGTCAGGAGGCTTTTTCCTTTCTGTGCCAGTAAGGCCAGGGCAGCACTTCAGCCTTAGTGAGGTGCAAGATGTGCTTCCCCTGGTGTCTGGCTCAGCTGGTACCTCTGTGTCTGCCTTCCCCGGGAGCCTCGCACTTGGATTTCTGTGCTGTCATTGGTTTAGTTTCTCTTTCTCGTCTCCTCAGACCCGATTACGGCGGCAGGATGCCGGCCTCAAGACCCACCTGGACCAGCTGGACCTGCAGATAAGTGAGCTGCAGCTGGGCATGTGCAGGGCATCAGGAGAGTGCCCGGACAGTGACAGCAGGCCCAGCTCAGGTACAGCCGTGGTACAGTACTGCAGAAATGCATCTAGGCACTAGAATGCATATACATACACACGCACACACACACGAACACATGCATGCACTGGAAAAGTATTGCTTTTGGAGGGGGAAGGAAATTCTGGTGCATTTTATCACTTTTAGAGCTGAGACAGCTTGTTCGCTGTTTGCAATTTGTGGAGGATGCGAGCGATGTTCTGCATAGCTGTGTTTAGATCTGTGGGTTTGGGAGATGCTGATAGGGTTGCCCCTTGCTCCTTGCTCTGTCTGAGATGCCACAGTTGTTACTGAAATGTGTGGCCCTGGTCACCTTTGCTTTCTACCTGACCTTCCCCATAGGACCCTTGGACATAGATGCCCCTGTATGCAGTGACAGAGATAGTGCGTGTAGGCCTGTGTTCCCCAAGTCTCCAGGGGAGTCTGCTGCTCCTCCTGCTTTCCAGTCCAGCCTAGGATGTGCTGTGCGGGGGGGGGGGTGTAGGGGTACAAAACTCCCCCTTCCCATAGGACTGGAGGTTAACAAGAAGGACAGGTAGGGCTAGGAAGATGCCTGAGGCCCCTGCAGGGGCCAGGATCAGAGGAGAGGCCTCTCTTTTGTCAGGCTTAGGGGACCCCTGCCCAGGAACTGGCTGCAGTGCAGGGCAGGGGTGTTCTGAACCCCAGCACCTTACAGGCATCTGGAGCATGCCACCGGGTGCTGGGTCTCATGGTCCTCCCCAACCTTCCTGGACCAGGACAGAAAGAAGCCCAGAGAAGCTCTCAGACCTCAGGACAGGGTCCCCAGGACATTCACCCACATGCCTGTGTCTGCTCCTCAGGATTCTACGAGCTGAGTGATGCTGGTTCCTGCTCTCTGTCCACCTCCTGCGCCTCTGTATGCAGTGACCACCTCTCCCCATCCTTGAGCAATCTGTTGCCTGCTTCCCATCCCTCCAAGCCCAGGCCTGGCATGGGTGACTGGCGGCCCCGGTCTGCTGATGAGAGCACCGTGCCAGTGTGGAGACCCCAGCCTGCCGAGGAGAGTAGCAGGTTCCTGGACAGTGGGGCAGGCACGGGCCATCCCCAGGGTATCTTCCGGTCTAGACCTGTGTCCACAGGTGAGAGAGGCAGGAGAGGGTGTAAAGGGTAGCAGGGGGCAGCCATCCGGCCATGCTGGGGACACAGCAGAGACCTCTACGCATCTGCAGACAGAGGAGCACCCAATGCCCACTGCTATGCATGCCAGACAGGGCATGGAGTTCTCCTATTCTCTAAAGTAAAGATGGGTTTTAAAAGCCTTTCTTGTCCCTGCATCAGCCCATGTGTGTAGCAGAGTGGCCTGTGGGGATGTAACTCGGTTCCTCCACAGCCTCTAGCTCCTGAAGAGATCACTTGGCCCTCGTTTCGCTCACAAGAGCAGGTTTAGTGCAAACCTCCCTGTCTCTTGGATGAGTCTCCAGAGTTTGCTTTCGGATCCACCAGGGTTATGTCATGACCTCTCTGACCTCTGCTCAGAGCCCAGGGGACCACAGAGTTGTATCCCTGGGCCACCTCAGGCCAGGTGCAATGCAATACGTGGCCAACTCATCCTCCTGCTCCACTGCAGCACCTGCACTCACCCACCCAGGCCCCAAGGTGGCCCCAGGTGCCGTGGCTGGAGTGGCCAATCTCCTGTCTCCTCGCTCTTGGGAGTCGCACAGAAACACGAGTGAGGAGCTGATCCCCTGTGAATTTTTCCTTGCTGAAAAGCTTGTTTTCCTTTCCAGGTGACCTTGAGAGAGTCCTTCCTGTGGATGAGGGACTCCAGAGTATGGGTGCAGATGCCATGCCCACCTCCCTTCTGTGCCTGGGGACAGACACCCCAGCCCATATGATGGACCCCACCTACCAGCGTGACCTCATGTCCAGGGGGGGCCGGGAAGTGTACCCCTACCCCAGCCCACTGCATGCAGTGGCCCTACAAAGCCCACTGTTCACCCTGGCCAAGGAGACCCCTGGGTCCCACAGCCACTCACCCCCCAGGAAGCCACTGTTGGTCCCCAGGGATCAGAGGACATCCCTGGCAGTGCCAATCTGTGAAGTGAGCCAACCCAGAGCCTACATTGACAGGCTGCTGCGTCTGCGGGGTCTAGGGGCCTCCCCAAGGGGCATCTTGGGGGAGCAGGGACCCCCAGGACCAGGAGATGAAACATCTCCTTTCCCACAGAAGCCCAGTGACCGGAAGCAGGACAGTGGAGGCCAGGCCGAGAAGCTGGCCTGTGCCCCAGGGAAAGGGAGCATGGGAATGCTGGCTGCCAGCCAGGCTGGACAGAGGAATGGCCTCAGTCACCAAGGACTCACACAGCTTATGGGCACCCCACCTCTTAACAGCCCCCCAGAGGAGCGGCCTAAACCCCGGAATTCCTGCACCTGTGAGGAGATAGCTGTGGGCCCTTCTCCCTGCTCGCAAGTCCAGCAACCACATATCAATTGCCGCCTGGTCCCTCCCAGGAGGCTGGGCTGTGAGAGCCCCCTAGGAGCCCCTGGGTACTCTGTCCACCTGCCCTGCACTGCCCATGAATCATCCCTGTCCAGGCTGAGGACAGCACACCCCAAAACCAAGACCGTGAAGATCAGGAGGAGGGCCAGTGACAAGGTGCCCAGGTCTGGGAGGCAGCCACTACCCCTCCCCGAAAGACACCAAGGCATCCATGCCACCCCCCAACAACCCTCAGAGTGGGACCTGTGGCACAAGCCCCAGGGACGTGGGCTCCGGAGAAGGCCCTCACTGGCCAGGGAGGCCCCTGGACGGTCCTGCTCTGAGTCCACCCTCTACCCCATGCCCCTCCTCATCCCCTTGGTGGTGGCCCAGCAGCAGAGTTACCAGGCGTCGTCCCAGGCCCTTTTTCCCGCTGACACAAGGCCCCTCAGCTCTGCTGCCAGGAGAAAGCAGCGCCCCTGGAAGTCCAGCATGGAGATCTCAGGCAAGTCCTGCCCAGCTAGCTGTGTCGAGCCCACTAGACCTGCAGCCAGGAGGGCAAGCGGGCCACAGGCCCAGGACAGAGCTGCGCTGGTCCGTCAGGAGGCCAGGAGTGAGTCTGACCTCTCTGAGCACTCAGCTGAGTGCACCTCACTCTTCCATTCCACCATTGCTGAGACCAGTGAGGAGGAGGCCAGCGACCACACCACCAACTGCTTCGGGGACCAGGAGTCCAGCGCCAGTGATTCGGAAGGCAGCGTCCAGGGCAGAGGCAGTATTCTGGAGCTGGATCAGGGAGTGGCTGGCCGGGGTGGGCAGGCCTGTCCTCCAGCAGTTCCCCAGCCCGCTCCCCGGGCTCCAGCAGGCACCAGGCCCCCTCTGCCTCCTGTGCCCAGATTGTGCCGCATCAAGGCCTCCAAGGCCCTGAAGAAAAAGATCCGCAGATTCCAGCCAGCAGCACTGAAGGTCATGACCATGGTGTGAGGCTGTGGTGCAAGTTGGTGCCCAATCATGGGCACAAGTTCCACACCAGTGCAATGCATAAGTGTGGGCTTGCGCACCCCCTGCAGCATGCTTTTAGCTCCTGAGCCTCCACATCCCAAGTCCTTTTGATGTGTGGTGGGCAGTTGTGTGGGCAACTGTTCGCTCCCCAGCAATGATGCACAGAGAATTCTGATCTTTTGAATTGTAGAAGCCACTCGCCAGCAAGCTTCCACTTGAGCGAGGGATTCCAGGGGCAGGGTTGGAGGTGTCTTGTTTCCTGATATTGTGAAGCCATTTCTCCCCGAAGCATTATCTCAGTGATCCTGCTGGCTGCAGGCAGCTGGATTGAATCTGAACTCCATGTTTAAGTTCTCAGTATCGTCCAAATCATGCCATCGCTTTTGCAAGTAAAAATGTTCTCTTTCATCCACCCCCTGCCTGCTCTGCACCGTCACAGTGACTGCTTGGACTGCCCTCTTCCGTCCCCTCCCGTGGGCACTGGCCTGTAGGTGGGAGCCTCTTTGAGGAGTGGATTCTAAACTTGGGTTCCAGTGTGAATAAGTTGTACATAAAAGTGTTTTGCCAAAATAACTTGGTGGTGGTGATGTTTTTGCTTTTCAAAAAAAATTTAACTCAGCTTTTCAGGGAGAAAACTCATAGGGTTCTCAGCTCAGCTGTGTGGTGGGTGTCGCAACCTGGTCAGCAGCTCACCCTGGCTGATTCAGAAACTGCTCTAAGTGTTCCTGGCAGAGAAGAGGTGTGCAGCACCCAAGTCCTTGCAGTTCTGGAACCCAGGAGTTGCAGAGACAGGAAGAAAACCGGCTGAAAATACTGGTAGGTTTTGTGCCAAGTGCTCACTATTCCTGTAAGAAGGAGCCGGGCAGGATGGAGTTGGGAGATTTAAAAACTGATTAACATTTGCGAACAAAGGCATGAGCCTCTGTGGAAAAGGAGCTGCTCTGAGGCTTCTGAAAGGTAAGAGAATGCAGGGGCTTCACATGTAAACCACCCCAAAAGCAAACATTTCCAAGGGCCAGCCGGAGCAGACTGGAGAGCAAACATTCCACTGTCTGCATAGACTTCTCACCTGCCTTCTTGGGATTGCAGACCCCAGAGACCTCCATCTTCTGTCCTCCCTATGCTTTTAAAAATGCTGCATTAAAATCAGATGCCCCTTGCATCTGACCCTCAGAGCTGCAGAGGGCCCATTCCTGACCAGAGATTTTGCTGTAAAATGTTGTGTAGGATACTGACAGAAATAGGTGGCCCCCAAGGGAATGGGAAATGGTGGCTCTAGCCCCTGAGGCCACTGGACCTGGCTTCCTAGACTTGACCTGACCTAGTTCCTGACCCCATTCAGGTCCCCACAGGGCTGCACAGAGCAGAGCCTACTGTTGTCTGCTCCTTATGGTCTCCTGGAGCATCTCTCCACAAAGAGGCTTTGACAACAACATGTAGGACTGGCTTTCCTTTCAATCTCAGGATGGTGAGGTGTGTCTTGTGTCATAGCCTGGAGACCTCAGGCTCCATGCCCACTACCTGGGATGGTGCCTGTCCTCAGAAAGCTGGCTTCTTTCTCAAACTCCAGGGTGCCACCCGCACCCATGCACTCCAACCCTGAGAACCTCATACAAACTGCCTTGTGGACCAAGGAACTCTGGACACAGCCCATGAGCAGAAAGTCCTCAGAGATCTCATGGTGTAAACCAGTTCCCTCACAGCTGTCTGTCTCCTTGTCTGCTCCCTTCTTTTCCCCTCTTTCTTTTTTGCTTCTCATTGAAGAAAAAGTGACTCGGGCTACAGTGTGGAAGCCCACTCTCTGAACTGTCTCGGTAGGTGCAGGGCTGGCTGAGTCCTGAGTGGGGTCCACTCTGAATACAGCAGTTGGAAAGTGGTCAACAGGAAACGTCCTGGGTGAAAATTTCAGCTGAATCCACCCAAAGCAGGGGTTCTTGTTAGGACTGTAAGTGACAAGAAATTGTAGAGGAAGGGCCCAGAGTGGTCAGGAGCTGGGCGGGAGGTGGGTCAAACAAAGCTCCTTTGCCACCTCTGGGCCTCGGTCTCCCCGTGTAACTGAGGACCCAGCCAAGCATGGCGCTTTCCCAAGGGTTCAGGTTGAATTCTCAAGGATCCCTGTTGGGTCTGCCAGCCCTTTGCCTTGCCCATCTTCCTGGTCTTCACTCAGTGCCTGGGAGCAGCCCAGGGAAAGCCGATGGCACTTCTGGGGGTCCAGGAACCCCTTGGCTGATGCTGACTGTTGCTTAGGAAGCAGACTGAAGAGCAAATTGACAGTGTTAAAAGATCGACCCAGGCTGCCAGGCTCAGCAGGATGACTTGTGGCATCCCAGGGCTCTGGAAACCTGGCTGGCAGCATCAGAGCAATTGTGTGGTCTATGACAGGCAGGACCAGGCCGGGCTCATGGGGGAGGGTACTGTGCCATGCAGAGCCACGAGTCCGCTCAGCTGGGATGGAAGCCAGTTGGAGAGCCTGAGCAGATGGGGGCAGAATGCTTGGAAACGAGGGTTCACTGCCACACTGCACAGGGCCCTTGCTCTAACTGACGAGCTCCTACTCTGGTACACTGTTCTGCCAGGCAGACGTGGGTGGAGCACTCTGAGGAAGAGGAATCAGCAGCAGCCTTGTGGGCAGCTAGCAGCCCATCTCTCTGAGCACCTGGGAGGGGACCTGGGATTCGAGGAGCCAGGCACTGCCATCCCGCTTCGGCTGGAAGTGGGACAGCAGACTCCGCTCTTTAGAAAGCTTTTGGAATTCTGGTTTGATAGAAGAAAAAAAAGTTAGCAAACAACAAAAGAGGTGAACTTGCTCTGAGAATGAGAATAATATGGGAATTTGAGTATATAAAATGTCTAAATTGTAAGAATTAGCTAAGAGTTTAACTTGCTTGCTAGGGAAAATAGCCCAGCATAGTTCAGTGGATAGACTATTTTATTTTTACTAATTCAGAAACAGAGCCAGGCCCTGGAAGCAGCTTCCTCTGAACATCACTTCTGTCCCCAGGGTGAAGAGAAAGAGCCTGTTTAGGATGTGACCCCTGAGAGCCACCAGCCCCTCAGCACTCAGTGCAGAGTCCAAAGGAGACCTGAGCCCCTCCCCACCAGTCAGCAAAGCCCTGTCTCCTGGGCTAGCCCCTTAATGCCCACAAAGAGGAGAAAGATCACGGAGGAAGTGAAGGGCCACGTTCCTCTAATACAGATTGTGTGGGGCTCTGGTGAGACGGAGCCTCATTCCTAAACAGTTCACAGATGTAAGTCTTTGAAGGACAAGTCCACAGGCAGTGGCCTGGACTTCCTCCTCCACATTTGCCTACAACATAGCTCTCGAGCCTTACACCAGAGCTGTAACCCATGCTCCCATGAGCCTGCACTCCACAGTGACTCAGGGATTCATGGTAGCCCAGCCTGTTTCAGAGAGGCCTGGTAAGTGTGGCAGGCCCTGTTGCGTCTGTGGAGCATCAAAGGACAGGCAGGAAAAGGCTCCAATCCTGCTGCCCACTTCCCAGGCCCACTGGCGGGGCTGCTGCTCATCCTGGCCACACACATTGACACCTCCTGCCTCTGACCAAGCAGAACTCAGACCTTGGTGGCAGACACCTTAGCTAGTGCAAACACGCGGGGCTGTGTTGGGATGACTCTGCCACAGCTCTGTACATTGGAGGTCTTGTAATTCACAAATGAGCCCCCCAGAGCCCCCAACCTTGAGTCCAAAAATGGGGCAAAACATGTTTTTTTTTTTTTTAAAAAAGCAGCGCTGATTTATTTTATCCTGGACACAGAGACAGTTGGAGTTTGTAAAAGCTGTGTGTCTCCCTCAAAACTTTCCAGACCTTTGGTAGAAAGCACAGTTCACAAAGTAAGGAGTTATGGGCGTGGATCAGGAAATCTGCTAAGGAATGAGGAAGACCTTTGTTTCCCTTAGCAGAGGACAGAGAAGTCTAGTAGTAATTAACAATCCTTTGTCAACCTATTTTAGCACTCAATTTTAGCTTACATCTGTTATTTGTAGAGGGCAGCAATGATTAACATATCAATTAAGTCAGGTTCCCAGGGATTTACAGTTCTTTACAGAGGGGAGCATTGATTAACATATCAATTAGGCCACCCAGAAATAATGAGGAGTACAGAACAGTATGGCAGCATTACAGGTTCTTTGGTCATATAACTTAGGCATAACACAAACATAACGAAGCTCTTTTTGCTAGTGTACAGCAGGAGGGTTCCAGAATTGGCCAGGAAGCCATAGCACCTTGGAGTGCTTCCAGTCATAGAGCGCAGAGGGCAGGATTCCGCCCCTTGCACCTGACGCTCAGGGCTGCAGAGGGACGGCTCCTCCCTGCTCGGAGACGCCAAGCAGGGTTGCAGTGCCTGCTGCTGCCCACCGAGGATGGACCAGGAAGTGCGAGACAAGGGCCAATCTGTCAGCAGCAGAGCTGCAGCTCCCTCTGACTGACACTGGGTGTGATGAAGGCGATGCTGGGCAAAGCCTGGCAAAGGGCCGCAGCCACGGCAGAAAGAGTATTCAAGAAACTCGCATCTGTAGAGCTCGAGAGATGTGTGATTTCTTAATAACCGGAAGGGATGTGATCTTGAGGGGCTATCCTGTGTGTGCCTCTGCAGGATAGTTTTCACCCGGGGTGTTAATGGTTAGTGCACAAGCTTGGTGCTTCCTTCTCGGTCTGCAAGCATGGGTGAGGTGGGGAAAGGGCCTTGGGCATCTGAAGGGTCCCTCAGATCTCCCCCCGCCAACTGCTTTCCCAGGAGTCTTTCTGACTCCACACAGCAAGGCAAAAGAGGATGTCTGTCCTCTTTCTTGTCCCTCCCTCATTCTCAGAGAGATGTGGGAAGGGTGCCGAGAAAGGACTGAGTCTGAGAATAGCTCCTCTCCCAGGCCTGGAGGAAAGCTGGCTGAGAGGCAGAGATCATTCTCCATCCATCAGGCGGCCCACAGAGAACCTGCTATCCCCCTGTAGCCCTGCTTGAGGCCGTATGTGGGAAGGAGCTATAAGGGCTCCATGTATGCAGCATGAACAACAGCCTCCAGGGATAGGGACCATGCGTCAGAGCCCCAAGGCTTGAGGACTCTGGTGACAGTGTCTAGGCACTAATTCAGGGCTGAGCTTGGAGTGGGAAAGTGGGATACAGTAGAGGGAAGGCAGGTGTCTGTGCTGGGCCAAGGCTGTCCAGGCTGAAGGTGGTCACAGAGAACTTTTTTGGCCCCCTCTGGTCAATTCGATGCTGGAAACAGAGTTGAGGCAAGGGTCTTATGCTGGTCACTTCTGCCTGGCATTAGGAGCCTACTCTACCAGCAGTCCTTATCAGCTTCCTGGGGTCTTGGGCACATCCCTGGCTTTCCATAGTCCTGGCTGGTGCAGGTTGGCTCCCGGGTGCACTGGGTCAAGGGCTGCTTTCCTGGCAGGTGTTGTCCTGTGGTCAGAACTGTTTTTACACCTAGCCTGGCCACTGTCACTTTGCATATTCAGCCTCTCAGAAGCAACAGGACACAATTAGGTCACGTTTAGAAAGACCCACTGTCTAGATGGTAGCATAGTTCCAGACCCAGGCTTGCGGCCCTG